GGGTCACATGAGTCAGATGTAGTAACAGCTAACAACATGGGATTTAAAAAATCTTTTTAGTTTTGTTTTTTCCCCAGCTTTAACATTTGAATGTAATTTCTCTCTCTTGAACATGCACAACTTCCCTATTTAAATGTATTTCCTTTTTAGACTTGTAACTCCATTGCAATATTACTACCATAGAATTTTATATCTCCTAAGGAATTATTTTTTTCTCTGCATAGCTAAATGCAGAGAACTTTATACTAACTTCGGCTCATAATCCAACTACTAATACTATCTACGAGTGAACTCTTCTGTTTACCCAGGCAGAAAAAATCTAAAATATAAAGACTGCCCTTACATCCTAGACTAGACACTGCAGCCAGAGAAATTTCTAATTTCAAATATGACTGTTATTTCTCTACCTAAAGCCCTTTAATGACATCCCAGCTCTCTATGTTAGCCTTTATTTATGAATCTAGAATACATGTTCTCTGCAAAGTACAATGATGATAAACGCTAAAGATAGACATTTCCATTACAAATGGGAGCAACTGGAGGGAAAGATGGGAAAGAGGAGATAACAGAAACCAAACAAGTTGAAAAGCCAGAGAACATGTTTAAGGAAGTAGGAAAAAAAACAAATCATTCATAGTACTTCCTTATGCAGCTAACATTTTCGTAAATTTTCTTTCAGTCTGAATAGATACACATATTCATCGGATATATCTGTATTGTATTGAAATACAAGTTTTATTTTTCAAATCTTGAGCTGTAGTAGTCTCTGTAAGCTAAATGAAGATAACTTTTTATAAAATTCTTACAAGTAGTACAGTAGATGTAGTGTTACTCCTTTTGAAAACTGGAGAAAAACATGTTAAGGCAATAGCATCCCAACCTGCTTATTTGTTTGCACTCTATCCAAGTGGATTAAGGAAAAATATTCAAGTCAGGGACTAGGCAACTAGCTCTATATATGAGCTGTGCTTCGAACCACACAGTCAGTAGTTCACATCCACCAGCCCCTCCTTGGGAGAAAGATGAGGCTTTCTGATTCCCTTAAATGTATAGCCTTGGGAATCCTATACAGGGCCAGTGTGAGTCAGAACCGACTTGGTGGCATACCACTCCGTTCCTCCACTCGAGCTGGCATCAGGTAGAGCTTTCTTAGGTTCTACCTAAGAAATCTATAGTAAAGAGTCTACTTTCTGATAATCAAATAAATGACATAGACCTTGAGAATTCCAGTTTTAATAAACAAAGGTTTTTTTCGTGTTTCTTCCTATACCATGGGGAGTGTGAGATTTATAGCAATTTCACTCAAAATCTACACCCTTTCTCCCAGGCCTCAGAGTTTAGATCATTTAGAGGAAGCTCTGAGGGGAAAAAAAATGCATAAGCTCCATTATTGATGAAATTTATGTGACTCTTCATCCCACCTTGTACCAGGTCCTACAAATTGTAGTAATAACACTTTTTTAACATTTATGTTTACACCTTCTATGTGTTGTCCTGATGTGGTACTGTAGGATAAACAGTGGACTGCTAACCTCAAGGTCAGTGGTTCAAGCCCACCAGCTGCTCCTGGGAAACCCTAAAAAGGATCACTATGAGTCAAAATCAACTTAATGGCATTTAATAATAACACTAAATAAGCACTTTGTTTAATCTTCACAACAGGTGCCATTAAGAGGTTGTTATTAAGTGCTGGTGAGTCAGTTCCAACTCAGCAACCCTACATGGGTTTCCGAGTTGTAGCTGGTGGGTTTCAACTGGTGACCTTGTGGTTCGCAGTCCAGTGCTGATCCTACAGTGCCACAC